TACAAAACTCTCTTCCTCGCTTTCTATTTCCAGTGAGTTTCGATGTGCATCTCGATCTGGAACACTTTCAGTCTCAACGTTTGGGCGTTCTTCTGGTGCCGCTCCATTGACGTAGATGCCACTAAACATCAGAATTCTCAACAAGAACGAGACTCGTTGGTAAAAAGATACAAAAAGTAATAACAATATACCAAAGATCTGTAAGCTTCACTAGGCTTCGAATTGTATCGATTTCTACTAAACAAATTTCCACGTTAGAGGAATATTGGATCCGAATATAGATTTAATGACATTCTGGGAAAGAAGATATTACCACAGGACTAACGAAATGATGTCCTAGATAAAGGAGGTTCTTTCCCTAAAACACTAGTAGTTTATCTGAACCGGTATTTCAAAGGACGAATATGACTGAATATAGGAGTTTTAACAGAGACTAGCATTTCAAGAAGGGGATCACCGAAAACTATTAAATCTACTTATACTTAACTCCTAAATGGCATGTGTACACATCTGCGGTAATGTTGGGCTGTATTTCCCTACTCATATTCTCTCTACAATTGTGGTACAACATGCACGTAAGTACTGACGTATCTCGCGGATATCAACTTTTTTCGTCTGGAAATTTCCAGCACTCAAAGAATAGTGAATATGGTGCGATTTAGAAGAACAAACTTGGAGGTAGTATAGGATAAAAAATATCTGCTAGATAACCTGAAAATCTTTGATATAACAATAGCAGAGCTCTGGATTAGTGCTCACCATGAAGATTCCTTCTAAGCACAACCGTTCTTCATGCGTGTAAAATGATCATTAAAAAACTTAATTGCGTAGGCGAAAACATTAACGATTATTGTCAGGCATTAGCCGTCTTCGCACGAAATGAGATTCCGACGCATGCCGATATCTCGTTTCACCGACAATGCACACTTTATATCGAGGCAACCAATACGCTTATTTAAGGTTAACTGTTGAAGGAATATAACTGATTAAACCAAACTTGAAATTGTGAAGCGATAGATGTGGTGTCGAAAAATGTGAAGGCGCACTTACTAAAAGATTTCCAGGATAGATCTGTTGGAATGAAACTCAAAAACAAAGATGAACAGAAATCAAGTCGTCAATCAATCAACACTATAGAGTTGACCTCACAAATGACCCTCTCAAGAGCGAAACAGAAGGCAGCTAACTCAGAAAATATCTTGAAAACCGACTATCATTAAACATCGGCAGCAGCAATCAGCAGCAATGACCGATAATTTTCTAAATGATTGAGCTGACACAATGTTGGTATCCGATCGAGGCTGCTTTCACTGAGTTCGACTCCTGTATTGTGACATCGACCAGCTGTGGATGTCGACTCAGAGCAATATGGCTTCGACGAACGAGAAGGCACCGAAACGTTAGCCCAATAAAATTTTTTATACTAACCTCTGCTCAGCTCAGTTATTTAGAAACTTATCTCAGAAAATCTTAACTCTTTTATTTACTGCCTTTTTCTTCCTAATGGCAAGGTATGTTTCGAATTATAACTCGTATGAAATGCTGAGATATTTGCAAACACGCGCTGTTGTCCTTACCGGGGAGCAGCGCACTTCACCACTACATCATCCGGGTCATACGAGTTATCTCAGAAAAGTTTGGCGGAGTACTACGTTTTTATTTATGTAGACAAGTTAAGAAAATAGTTGTGAATCACTTGTAACAGCAGAACGCGGCCAATGAAGAAGTGGGTGAAATTTAAATATGACAAATTGTCCACATTTGGCTTGTTACATCGCTATCGAGTAATCAGTCGACTAATCTCAGGGTTAGCTCTAGTCCGGAAAGAAATCAGTTGCAGAGCAAGAAATTTTCTTATGATCCACAAATGCAGGTAATTGCAGTGAGAACCTGAGAACGCTCTTGCGTGGCAGTGTCATTTTCTCGAGGAAAACCACACGTTCAGCATGAGGAACTAAGTCCGCAGATCCTCATGCTTTAGCTAAATCCATATCTCATCCCCACGACCTTCACGGATTAGGGATACGGATGGTGCTTTCGGTTGGGACTGTTAGCGGGAAAGAGTTAAGAATTTTCAGTTGTTAATTGTTTACAATAAACCGAAACACATCTCATTAATTTTTGCTCGAGACAGCGAGCACTGAATTGGATTTTAGAAGGGCTACGAAGTCCATAGCAAATTTTCCTGGTAGAAAAATAATAGCAACTTTTGCAATCATGAAAGTTACAAAAAAATGATGATATATATTTGTCCCACACATTCTTGCTCACTACTATTTTAGAAATAATTTCTTTCTTAACAATTTGACATCATTTTTCCGCAACTCAGTTGGCAATGGGTTTTAGGGGGCTGAAATGACATCTTTATGGTATTTAAGTCATTTCATGGGTCCCTTTCGAGAACTTCATGAGGATTGTAGAAAAAATTGGCGTTCACGGTGCAACCATCTTTCGGCGTTTTGAAGACACTGGAAACGGGAAGTAGCTCTGGAGATGTGTATCGCTCGATTAAAACTACTGGCAGCAAAATCGTCATCACCAGTTGAGTCCTTTACTTTCTCATAGAGTAGGCATACATTTTTAGTTCTCATTATGAAGCCGAATCTTCACCAAAAGATGGTTGCTATGAGTTTTTCGTTTTCTGCAAATTGAATCATCCATGTCTTGATCATGAAGAACGATCACAGGTGAGAAGAATCGCCACGAAAGTAATGGGCTCTAACATATAGCCTTTGGAATGCCAAACAGAAAAGTGCCAACTCCTTAGCAAGGCAAAAATTGAGTACATGTTGCACAACTAACGCTGCAAAAATTGAATGAACTAGGCTACGAAACTCTCTTTCTCTCTCTCATTTGGCGTACTGGCCACTGTTTCGAAGAGTTTGTCACATCCGGGATTGCAGAATTCCAGCATGGTCCTTTATGTGTTAAAGGTAGCTAATGTAGAAGAGACAAAAAGAAAAGCTGTTTTTGTGGGGAGACCATTCGTTGAGTGGACTAACATATTTGAAATCGACGTGTTGTGAAATCGCTATATGTTACACTTTAATCCTTTAGAAGTGTATATGTATAACAGAATCTTCATCTCTGTGTTAAGGACTGAAAACAGGAAGAGAAAAAGAGAGAGTAATGATTTCAAGATGTTGCAGTAATTCAGAATGGGTGTGTAGTCCAGTGAGTGAGGTGAGGTGAGGGGTATAGACACTTCATCGGTCACTGGTTCGAGCCCTCGCCTCAGGTTCACCAAGCCTTCCATCATTCTAAGGGCAGTGAACTGGCACCAAATATGCCTCGCAAGATAGCAGCATTGACATGTTACATCTCACTTCTACGATGTTTGATGGAGACGTATGTATAGCGCAACCGCTACGGCGTAATTAACACCAAACGCTTCTACACTTTGCGCTGATATAGGAAAATATTACTTGACCGCGTTGTCGCCGCGAACGGTTTCAATGCTTATTTGTCACAAAATCCATTATAGATCACATAATTTACAACAACTTTGGATTGATAGAAATGATGTTATGAAGGTCCGAAGAGCATCTTGCTTCACCAGTTCAAGCCTGGACAATTTGTCGTGGAAGCATTTCAAACACTAGGCTACGGAAGAGATCAAGTAAAAATAACCGGAATCTAAAATGTAGTTAAAGCACGGTATAAGCGAAGGTTTTGTACAGCGTATTTACTTCATGTGTATCCATCTATCATACTATTAGTAGTACAAATTGAAGTCGCTTTTCATAATCTGTGGATCATAATCATTAAGCCAACTTTAGTAGAACAATAAATACAAAGAAAAATAGCACAATGACCATTTTTAACGCCCATAAAAACTAAGATCTTCATCAGCAGGAAATAAAATGAGTACTAGTATTTCAAATGATTTGTGCTTTCTAAAATGTCAAATTTTTAGGAAAAGCAAACGAAATATTCCTATTTCTCACAATGTTGACTGGGGGTCTAAATTTCAGGTGTCATTCATATCCATCATCGCGACATCAGAAAGACAAGTGCTTCTCCAGCTGAAAGCTGGTCAATTTGCAAAAGACAGAAAGTAAATCACTACCACATTTTTATGCTGTCGGTAGTCCTCAAAAGCTATTTAGCAATAGAAACCTCAAACTGACTGCAAGTGAGGTATTTATTAGGTAAAATTATGAATCATAATCGTGCATCCCGAGGAAACTAAGAAAAACTAGAAAGAAAACAGCACTAGCTTTGTTATCTGTGATTTTAAAATTAATGTGATATTGAAAGATAATGCATCTATTAAACAAATGAGGTCCACTATTTCGATGGAGAAGCACTTTTTCAAATTAGAGGTTACTTGTATATCAATGTCGATCGTTGGCGGGAATTACGTCGGCAACAAATCTTGCCTTGAAGAAAAATCTGAGAATCTATTTTAAAATTTTTTCCTTCATATTTGAGGGCTCGTGTGGCGCAGTGGTCGGAGGCACCCTGCAACACACACGTGGGATCGATGCCCGCGCCTATGGTCCACCAAGCCTACCATCCCTCCGGGCTCGGCAAATTTTTACCGTACCTGCCTGGGAGGGTATCAGCATTGGCTCAATACATCGTTAGGCCACCGGGAGTCATTGTAAAGGCCAGGTAAGCATTCGATCACCTCCAAACGATGTTTAATGAAGTCGAATGCATGGAGTAACCTTCAGGAATTGATCAACGTCGAGAGCTTTAACCTTCTATCCTTTTCATTTGCTACCCACTACGTCTCACCATCATACTATTCAACAAAAACTGATGCTTATGGGATGAATAATCATAAACAGTAGTATATCAAAGTCATACAAGAAAAATCGTACCTCAACTTCTGATGGATACAGTGTAGTGAACAGAATTGCAAGAGAGGTCTTACTGGACGATGCATAACTGAGCATATTCTACCAGGGTTTTCATTTTCGTCCAAAAAGGCAGCATTGCATCTTCAGTAAAGTTTGTTATTGTTCGTATCAAAAGATCTAATCTTTGACTACTCACCTTGTGGGGCGATTATGTGTGAGTAGTGCCTGACCTGTAGTTTTTGCCGAACAAATCACATACCGGGAGTATATTTCGTAAAATTCACGGCGAAAATTGGTATTCAAGAACCCATAAAGAAATGGGTTGACACAGATCGACAGCATCGACACCATTTTGCAGGTTTGGTCAATGCGTTCGATAATGCCGACATGTGATTCCTAGAATAAGTACTGGTTTTGTGCTCTTATTTTCTTCTAATATAAGAATCTTATAGGGAGCGTATGAAGGATGTTTGCTTACCACGTATAATATGTCAAGGTCAAGTAAGAGAGAAATGAGTGTAAATGGGAACCAAAGGGCTGCATAACTTCCTGCCATAGCTATGAGAAGTGATGTCGTTCTGCTCGTTCGTCGTTCGCAGGCTCGTTCCGTTATTGAGCTTCGTATTGAACTATTTGAATGTGACCGGATTTTGCTTTGACTTAACTGGAACATAAATAAGCTTTTATTAATAATTATTTACTTTAGTTAGCACCAACGGGATTTTACTGAGCAACTTTAAATGAGTTAGATTTCAGGAAAAGTTTTTGCAAAATGAGACAAAGCAATTCAGTTACCAACGAGCCAGCTGCTGGTTAAGCCCCTTCTTGTTTTTACATATGGCTAAAATCATATTGATCAGTGAACGAAAAAATTCAGATTTCAATCTAAATGTCTCGGTTTATTCATGCCACACATAAATTGTTACAGAACTATTGTGGACAGTCGATTCGAGTTATTAAGGGTATCTAGACGGGAGTGCCCCAACGGTTTACCGTCTCACCGTGGCTGGAAAGTGTTCCTGGGTGTGGGCTGCTATGTACAGCAGGAGGATTCATCACCCTGACAGGGTCTCCCATGTTGAAAAGAAGTCCGGCGTTTCCACTAGGAAGCCGAGCTAAGAGCAAACTAATACCAGGATTCGCCACCGTCCTGGTGTCAAACTAATCGCATTGTGGCAAATCTCCTTCTGATCCACAACGGCTGCGACTGCCTGTGGTGATGACGAGCTGTGCAAGCTTTAGCCATGCTGGCCTCGGGATTCCAGAAAATCACAATGGCTAAACCATTAAATCTCCGAAAAAATGGAGGTTATACTGGGTCCCGCGCAATCAGCGAGGACGGGTCATCCAAGTATCTAAGTAAGTATGGATGGGGTTAACTCCGAAACGCTAGTCACAAAAAAATCTGTCTAGAAAGTTATATAAACGATTACTTCCGCTAAGGTTAAAAGGAAATCGATTTATATGAATATGCCTTTCACTTCATTAGACTAGACTCGGCGCGGCACTGAAGACCAACATGTCGTAGAAAACCTGAGCGATCGACGCTCAAATCAACACAGCTCTGACGACTAGGATATCGCATAGAAGTCAGTGGCTATATTGATTTTACAAGCCTCGTATGAGCCTATCAGTAAAGATGTAGTCAGCAGCGGTGCGCTTACGCATTATCTCTAATATTTAAAATATTGAAATCTCGTTAAGGTTTCTACCGAGTGAGCTTCTTAGAAATACGCGGTCTGCTATAGTACTAGAATAATTTGATGGAGCATCGCGAATCCAGTATCTCCAATACACTGGTAATTTGTTGGCTTGGTTCTTTGTTGGATACTTAATGTAGTTACACTGCGGGGTTTCAAGGTTGTCATGGCTCCGACAAAATGGATAAAGATTTTCATCTTTCGATTCATGTTTCTAGTAGGTTGACATTGCGTTCTTTTCCTGAATTTAGCATATCCTGCTTGGAAATAATCCTCCAAGCGTACATCACTGTTATCCATGACCAAATTTTAGCCAAAATGAACTTGTGCAAAAAGTGGTAGGTGTGATCGATTCAGTAGCAGACTATCGTGTGTACGAGGAAAATGAACCGGAAAGAAAACGGGTCGCAAATTACGCGTAGTAGTAAAATTGCGGAAGCACATATGGCTTATATATTACTGCTATGGTGTGCACTTTGTTGGAATTTTGCAAGAATCAGGCTAGAAATACTTCGCAGTTTTTTCTGTTCAGCTGTTCAGTTCGCCACCGCCTGTTGTCCAATCGGTTTCTCGCCATTCGATTGGCGTTCGTTTTGAGGAACCGTGTCAGCTTCATGTTGAATATCGATAACAGAAGAAGTGGCACAATATACAGCGAAAAAACTTGAAGCACTGATGTCAGCAGCTGGAAAACAGAGTTCTTAGTGAAATCTTTATCCACATCCAACGTGAGCTTGTCTACTACAGTCCTTACGTTAACCCATAGAAAGTTATTTAACTGCCCACTCCTTTAAAGTACTTTATAGTAGAACACAAATAAACTCAAATTTTCTGGAAACGTTGTTTTTTCTTAACACTCATACAGAAATAAAAGAGTGAAAAATCGAAGCTTGCCTGAATTTCTTGTGTTGACATTACAACAGTCGTTGATTGTGGTGGTGCGAGACGACACTGTCTCCATCCGTAGCTGCGCGGCATCAGCACACCTCTCTCGTCAAAGACATTCACATCCTACAGTGACACACATAAATAATCTTGTTTAAAAAATTCATATTATGTTAGAACTCAAAAGGTGATAGCCGTTAGGTTTTAATGTCGTTGTCGTTCCCCAACAAGTAAGCGATTAACTGAAGCGTCCCTACTTCCACAGCGGGAACCTAGATTGTGTAAGGAAAGCGGGCAGTTTGTCGAATTCTACCGAAACTAGAGTTTTTTTCTTCGACGTCTGTGTTTGTTGCACTATAGGCAATGTGATTCAAAGTAGACCTGTTCGGGCGATCTTATTTGGCCTGTCTTAGCAATCAGAGTGATTTTTTTCTGCAAGGGTCTTCTCATAACCGAATATTATGATTGGAGCTATCATTTATCGTAGTATACGACGCTAAGAGCCGAGTTGTAATAGAAAATGTAGGCACCCGTAGAGAATACTATGACATTTTTTGCATTTATGTATGGTGAGTTTTGAGAAGTACCACTTTTTCTCTGCATCAAAGCTGAGTGAATCGAATGATTTTTTCATCTTCATTAGTCCGTTGAGAATGTGTGTGTTATACGAAACTGTACTCTCCGTCAACGTTTTCTGTGCTCTGATTTGCACGTTGAAAATATCTTGGTGGCTTTTCATTTATTCCATTGTTCGAGAACTGAGATTATATTGGTTTCTTTCTCATTCCACAAGTTACCATATAACAGAGTTAACAGCGCTGAGTAGAGAAGCCGTTCCATGACAAACTAAAAGATCTTCATGAGAGGCTTGCAGTGACTTGCCCCGAGTGCTGATCTGAACAGACGATTTGTTCAGCAACTAGGCAACGTGTGCAGAGGAGGCGAACTGAATAGTGCGAGGGCAACATTATATGCTTTGTGTAAGTTAAAATGGAAGGTGTGGGCATAATCAAATCAACGCTGCGAAACGTTACCCGTTGGTGAATGTATAAAATTGTTGGATGTATGAATGGAATGAAAAATAATGGTTCTCTTCACAGAACCCTGCATTACTTATTGTGCGGATCCCAACATTTTTTGAACCCTATTCGTTTCTTCGCATCCAAATTCCACCGTGGCCCTCGAGTTTTTCACGTGTGGCTTCGGATGTTGCTTGAGTATCCTGGTCATCTGCACAAATGTTTTTGAATGCTGGTCGAATCGATTCTCTCGCGAATCCTGTTATAACTGTCCTAGGACGCTTCCAGACATCACATGGAATGCCTGCTTTTGTGGATTTGAGAGAGTGCTCGTCCCAGACAACTCTGTTGGCAAATTCGTACCCCCCACCCGAAGGATGGAACGGTAGGAGTATTGATTCGATATAGGATCGAGCCCGCGACCAAACCTTGGGCCTGTACCGCACGACATTTCTAGGCACTGTGTTCTCCGCTCCTTTTCTTAGTTGTATTGGAACAATTAATTATAGAAACAATCATTAATGATTTAATCACTTGTCACACAGAATAATCGAAATGTTTCTTTTCTTGAACCTTACCCAATTTAGTAAACGAAAACGTGATTTGGTAAACGATCGCTGCCTGCCAATTATACATAAAGGACAACTATGCTAAAGCATGGAGCTATCATATTGTTGTCGTTTACTAGATTTTTGAAAACTAGGTTGACTTTTCAGACAATTAAGGAATTTTTCATGACTTTTGAATGTTTTCATTTTCACATTCAGGTTTACATAAAAAGCGATTTCAAGCCAATATGGAGACAAAATGAAAAGGAACCATAGCGCAAAAATATTTCGTAAGTTCAGCGCGAGCGCAGAACTACCTTAAATGAGTTTTTATTCCCATCAAAGGTATCCAAATTTGATGTCACTTCTTTGTTTCTTACTTTTATCAGCACTTTTATTGTTTATTGTTAGACTCAAACTAGATGTTGTGCTCACATCCAATACTGTCGCATTGTGGATTAAACGCCAAATACAGATGACCATGTGCTTGTCTAGAAAGACGGTTGGATAAAACAGATCAGGCGTAGGTGGTTAAATGAAGCGAGTGGGAAGTAAATGACAGCTAGCTTGGAACGCTTGCAATAAATAATCTCCATGAATACTCAATCAGGCTACCCACAACTATAAGCAGCCTCCACGGCAGAATATAACATTATACACCTGGGTACTTTGTCGTAAAAACCATAAAAATACAAAACTTTTTTCCCCCTGAAAAAAGCACGAATTGGGATCGTATCTAATTCGGGGACATAAAAGGGCTGTTATATCTGAAAATTCGCTTGCACAGCTGAAATTTGGGAAAAAGATTTGGCTATGGTCAGCATTTACGCGTGCGTAGGTTAGCGTCGAAAACACCACTTTACACTTTCGTGATTGTGCTTTATCTCGGGTTTATTGTGGGCTGGTCGACGCCTAATTTTCAGCCTTTATGGAATTTTTGGTTTTTTGAAAATAAACAGTAATTATTCGTTAACTAAGGGATTTCGCGGGCTGTGAACATGAATGCATTGCAGAAACACTTGGTTCATTTAATTTACCATGGTACATCATACAATCATATTATTCCGAGTATCTAGAAGTGTTTTTTATTTTACGGACCACTATTTTAGTAATTTTATACTCGCACACTCAGTGCGATACCTACCGCTTAGTGCAGCAATTAGAATTGGAATAGTAGTCCATTAACACCTAAATTTCTGAGCAATGATTTGGTTGACATAACGGTTTTTTAATGTATTTTTAAGTGCGAAATAAATTCTTTTCCGGCCAACGACCAACATAACATCTGTGTTCTATAAGCTGGTTCATAGCAAAAAGTATTGGAAAATAGCACTTCGTATTGAATTAAGTCTCCGGAAAGGAAATGAGACCTACAGATTCTTGGCAGCCATTTTCGCAAAAGTATTATGAGACCTATAGGTGCTACTCGCTACCAGAGTGCTAAGGAGCCGATGATGACTATCTAGGAAAATCAAGTGCGGTGTTATTAAACCGACCATGACATCAAGACATTGGCCATCAAGCAAGATTTATAGCAACGAAGAACTACTGGAACTAGTACTACTACTCGTCAGAACTAAAGGAGTTAACAGATTGGTCTATTCAACATAACGTTTTTAATGAACATCGAATACCCTGAAAAACTTACAAACCCATTCACCCATCCACAGTGAAAATGAACTGCACTAACGTCCGACTAGACGAACGTTCTAATTTACTTACAGGAACGCAGTTCAACAAATTTGAGATGAAGATAAGCGACATTAACCGTCGCGATTGGCTGTAGAACCTATGGAACAGAACGGATGGACTGAAGGAGAAGGAACGGGCTGACAAGCTCTCAGTTTATTATCACATCTAACACTATTTATGATACTTCATGGCTTCAAAACCCGTTCTCTTAATTTGCACGAATCGGACCCTATAGGAAAAACGAGCCTGCTATACCACTGTTCGTTTAGGGTTTTTTGCCCCCACATTCATTATTGAAAGGAGGGCTTTAGAATTGTGGGTAAGCATGAATAAGTAATGAATAATTTATGCGAATAAATAATCTCATGTGGAAGAGGAGAATGCCGTCGATTATTATTACCTTCCGCGACAAAATATAATTAATAATACGAAAACTTCTTTGAACTCTTTTTCGTTCCACAGCCACTTTCTTATACCACCACATGTTCGAAAAAAGAAAAATGGAACTTAAGGAACAGACAATACTACAACCAATTTCCTTCGAACTCAAATCCACAGACTACGTTCCCTTCCTGCAATGATATGATTGCTGAGTCTGTTCTAAAAGTGTTCCACTAAATTGTCCTGTACCGGTTATCAAAATCCTGCAACAAAGCTTAGCTATTTGAGCTAGCAGAATTCACGACGAAATTCCGTTCAACTGATTACGCTCATATCATAGCACTGTCACACCATGAAAAAGCGTTCGGCAACGTTGAAACGAATGCTATTCTATCACCTGTGGTCCGAAGTTTTTGCAAATATCTCAGCACTTCATACGAGCTATTCTATCAGTTCGGCAGCGAAAGCTGCAATCTTCGTCATCCCCAAAAGCATTCCGACAAGACGATAAAAATAAGTGGGACGAAATGGATTCAGCAGTGAATGAGATGTTTTTAATCAAACGAATGCCGAATATATTATGAATAATTTTTTATCAAACGCTTTAACGAGGGCAACACGATCTTTTCGGAAAATACCACTACAAAACTTTTTGAATAATGTGATCAATGAAGTAAGCAAAAAATTAAGGTTTGCGAAGCAAACCAAATTGGTGAAAGAGCCAATGTATACTAGAAACAGTCCGATATGGATAGTTGTTTGACTACGTGTTACTTTTCTTACGGCGTCCAATGAACGCTGAAGAGCTCATTTGGGAGGAATTGCGCAGAAGGATAAGAATGGAATGACCCGCGTTCGGAACTTGAAAAAGCTACTGATCAGTTAAGTGTCCAAGAACTCTTCGGTTGCTTAGCGTTCTCCTGCGCTTTTTGCAAATAGCTTTCGCTGTGGAAGAAAACTTATTCATTGCAAACAATTGTTACCCACCTTCATGTATTTCACACCTATTTTATTTCAGACTTTTGGATCCCCGATTCGATCCAATACGAAAAAGAACCTGAAGGCCTGATCAAAGCAAATCATGATGCCTGGACAGGTCTTATGTCTGAGAAACAACCACGAGACATGTGCAATGAGTGACTGTATACCACAAGATGATATACAGTCGACAATGACAGCACCAAATTAATGTATTCGTGCACCTCATGTGCTCAGAAACTGCTGGAGAACTATGTAACGCGACAGAGAAGAATGGAAATTCTACTTCTGTCATCCAACCCTACAATCACCGTGCCATCGACGATAGGACGAATGGCAAGACAATCGGCCCTTATTATTAGAGATATAGCTATAATGACGACAATCATTAAAGGTATCGTAGTGTTCGCCACTATTGTTATTGTAATTGCTATCATTATAAGAAGTGTTGCTATCGTTTCCACTACTAATAACAATGTTGTTGTTATTGTTATCTATAGCAACAATGTTACTATCATTATTAAAAAATACCGGATACATCAAATAATGCAAAAGACGGGAGAAGGTGTACTGTGAAGCCCTGTAGTAGGGACGCAGTGTTAAGAAATTTAAAAAACATGAAAAAACTTTTGGTCCTTGTACAGCACTTACCTTGACAACGTACAGCATGGTGGTGTCATAATAAAGAAGAAGCGGAAGAGAGAGGAAGAATGAGATAATCCATATTAACAGAGAGATACAAACAGCTTTCATGCACTGTCGTCGTTTTGAAGCAACTTCGAGCTGCTTTACAGAATAGTATCTGTAGAACGGAGAAACAATAATGGATAGCAGTAAAGAAACACTTCTTAATTTCAAAGAAATATTTAAAGTCAAGAATGAGCGTTCAACCAAGTGCTTTGATTCCAATTGTAACAATTTCTTACTTTTAATCAGTTTTCTAAATTCGTCTAAACACAGCTTTACAAGATCATAACCTTTCAATTACTTAGAGAAATATTTAAAAATGAGAACTTTCTCAGATACTCCATACACTAAGGCATGTTTCACTTAAGGTGATTTGTACAAGAACTTCTCATGGAATACATTCTTGTATTTATTAATAATTGGAAAAAAAACTCCTACAATCCCGGAGAGTTGAAGCCATTTGCCAGAGAGATCGATTGTGAAAAGCTGTGTGTTCTCTGGAAATCCTTACCGATCAATTGCCATTACACATATTGTAAGAGTTGAACAATAAATATTGCTTCCTGGAAGGACGTTTGCGAACTTGCAGAAAAAACGTGAATAGGGAAACTCGAAATCGATAGAAGGTAACCATAAAAACGGAATGTTGATAAGTGCAAGGACCTGTAAAACGGATGTTGAAAAACCGTTGAGCATCTCGCTTACCAAATCTACCACTTCATTTAATACTCATTTATTAACATTACTGATCCGTTTTATCAAGTCATTCAACGTTGGCTGCACATTTTCGAAAGTTTTATTTCGGCTCTTGGGACATAAAAAAAAAGAAATAAGCGTTAGTTAGTAAAGATAGGTGCATCTTCGCTGTGCACCAAGCCAGCTGCTTACCAAATTCGATAAAGCTAGATTTACAATGAGAACGTTACGATTCGTGCGCATCTCCCGTTTCCAAAGAACAACCAAAATTACCTGAAAAATCCACTTTTCTTGATAGATTTCAACGGTCATAGTTTTTCACCCATACCAATAAACTGACAACTTGTCGCCATTGCTCGAAATCTTTCTAGAGTTTCCGAGATGATTGCAGACCATTTTAGCTTCTAAACCCCAAAAAGGAAACGGGGCAATCGCTCGTCGTATCCTAATCTCAAGCATAAGAGATTATGGAAGAGCCGGTCAGTAAGAACATTTCATTGGTAAGATTTCGCAGACAAAGACTCTTTTTTGGATACCAAATACCATGGACGTCACCGAGACAATGCGGAAAATGGGACTCGTGCTCCTATGTTTGGTTCAGCCTTACGAATTTGAAAGTTTCTTACAAAAACTAACGATGATCATCACTCATAATAATAATATTCATCCATAAAAATGGACGAATGTAGGAAATTTCGGGCATTTCCGCTTGGAAAGTAGCCCGTTCAAAAGTTGATGCCATTAGTGCAATAAAGTCATTAAAACCACAATGTTGCTAAGATATTTGCAAAGCTCCAGACCGCTGGTGTCCTCGGTGATGAGTGAACACGCTATTACCCTTTCCGGCGGCTTACGCGTTCACCACCACATGAGACCCTCGTTTCGCTTGTCTCTCAGCCATGTTAAAGTCATTAAATTATTTCCAATTTTTGCAATTAATGATAGCGAAAATGATTTCACTTGAACTAAGGCAGTATGCTTAATTTTTTGTTTAGTTTCTTGGTGACTACATCATAACTATATACAATTGCATTCGTACAGCAAAAAGTTAATCGAAGAGCTATACGTGTTGAAAGTGACGCTGTCATAAAAATTATACACTTAGCTGTTTTAATAGGTAGGAATAAAAATACGTTCGAAGAGTTATGATCGGATCACGCGTAAAGTGTTGAACAGAAGATGAAGGTGAACTAAATGTTGTTAAAGCGATCTCGCTTCTGCTAGATGAAGTTTCTTCTCCTCATCTAATAGGAGGATGTTTGAAACATGTGATGTCGAGAACCACCAAATCGAGAAGAACGATATGGTAGGCAATCACTTCACTTGATCGGTGACAGCATAAGAAAGCACAGTGTACAATACTGATGGTATCTTAGAAACAAATGCTCGAATGTCTCACCAGTCCGTTGCCGATCAACGCGAGAATGGAGATAATCACGTAGACTGAGGTGTAGGCGATTTGTTCCCATTCATTAAATCGCCTAAGAAACGTCTGTAACTGCTCGAAAAACATCTGAAATACACCGTGCATAAAAATTAAGGCCTCTAATTTATGTGGAACTCGAAATCAGAAACGAAGCTCCGGTTCCATATCGTTTAAATTGTTTAACATCTGAAGCAAGCATCAGCAAAATCGAAATCGCAATTGCGAATGTGTAATGAGAAACCTGGTATCGGGATGAACTATGTAGTGATTCTCGAACAATTACAAAAATTACAGCATATGAATTGATACGAATTTCTGGATCTTTATTAATTAGAGTAATAAGAAGGCTATACCAATAACTGCACACACATCTACCTGCAGACAGCGGCCGTCGAATGGAGTAGTCCTGTAGATCTCTTCACTCACTGAATTACGATTGATCGAGCGATTACAATATTTATCAAGTTCCTCGACATTCATTATCATTACCTGAAAAAAGTAATGTGCACGGAAACCTATGGAAAGCCTTGACGTGTAAGATAATAAAAGACGGCAAATTGAAACATTGACATTGTGATTTAGGCCACAGTCTCAGATTAATGAGTTCGATGCCGATTTGCGCTCCCCAGATCATTCTTGTTGAATGAGAGTTTCAAACGGATTGGAGGAAGAGAACAAGAAGAAAATTATTGAGATCATTTCAAATTATTCATGTCTTACACAACTGTAGTCTAAAGTAGTCCAGAGAAGGAGCGCAAAGCTGCTCCGAATAGACCAACGTCGTGTCGCTTTTGTTGGTGGACAACGAGGGAGAAATTCTTGAAGATTTTCATCGATAGCTTTAATATCGACTTCCTTACATTATAAAAATAAATTTATCACAATGTTTAACTCAATAACCCAACTCACAAAGCTTCTAAAACGCAACGCTCTTAAATGTGAAACTATTGAAATGAAGCAATTTTCATTCGTAAACACTAGGCGATTGCTGTAAAATATGTCACACTCGTACAAACATGAACATACACCTGGACATACAAGATACCGATGCTGCGACACACACTTTCATTGTATATAGACACACATATATACATACGTACAAACACCCACATGCACAAGTTACTTAAAATACTAGGTCCGTTTGGATAGCGTGAGTTAATGAATTTTTCAAGTCAGCAGCAAGAAAGTAGTTATGTTGATTATAGTACGCAAACTACATCCGCTTCTGATCACATGAAAATCCAAGCCGAGGAAATTGTATTGAAGGTAATGAAAATGGTAAAAACATTCCATGAAAGGGGAAGATGCAAACACTGTTGAATGTAGTTACTTTGTTAGCCTTTTTATTTACTGCCTATTCTTTTTAATGGCAGGATATGTTGCGAAATATAACTTCTATAATGCTGAGATATTTGCAAAACTGCGGACCGCAGGTGTCTGCGATGGGGAGCGAACGCACTGTTTTCTATTCTGGAGAGAAACGCGCTCACCACCACACTATGCGGGTATCTCAGCGTCATTGTGGTTGCTTCACAAATAATACCCTGCCGTTAAAACTACTAAAAGGCAGTAAATAAAAAGTCGACATTGTGAATTTCAACTATAGAGTCAGCTTAACTGGGTTCAATGCCGATTTGGGCTCCTCGGATCAATCCCGTTGACGGATGATTGCTGATGGCAAAAAGATCGATAGAACTAGATGAGAGACAGGCGAGACGAAGGACCCGCATGGTGTGGTGGTGAACGCGTTACTCCCCGGATATGGCAATAACGCGTTCGTTCCCCACCGCAGACACCTGCTGTCCGGAGTTTTGCAAATATCTCAGCATTATAGAAGTTATAGTTACATTGTCTTTGTTTTTTGAACTTCGTACAATTGGTTAGGTGTTTTAAAATAACAGCCCATTAGACCGTTGAAGCAAAACAAGCAATGAATAATGAATAGAAGAGGTAAGTCGAATAAATGTTAACATTAACTGCTGTGAGAATAATACACGCTCTCCCCACTGATTCATTAACATAAAGGAAAATAAGTCTCTTGAAACAAAGTACTCGACTATGAGATACTATTTTTTCGTGAGAATTCTTTTGGGTTAACTTTCCACGCAAAGAACAAGTAGTTATGAAGTGTACTGAAGGACGGATGAACATGCTGCAGGTGTCAGAATTTTGAATCAAGACAGTGGAAAAGAAGTAACAAAAAGAGCACGATAGCTGAGAATTAAAGGCAATCCTAATGGAACTTTGCGAAAAACTAGGACAGCTTAATGATAAGTGTTGAAGCAGAACGCATTTGAAATGGAGGCGGTCACATTACTTCTTTAGATAGCTCAAAAAAACAACTACATTCGCCGTTTCTTTGAACTATATAGGTATAGTACTTTCTGGATTGAATCTGGTAGTGTTTGGCAGAATACACTTGTAAGCAATGGTCTCTTAAGTTAATACTCAAGAGCAGGCTGTTGAATAAACGATTTTTTCTAGCTTCTACGTTGTAGTGCATGGATTCTTGTTTTTCATTATCGGCTTTGAAAATTGAAAAATTCTGGTAAAATGACAAGTCGGGAATGTTTTCTCAGTCATACCTAATTAGTTTTCTCACGAATAACATGCATTGCGGTCTTAAAAATGATTAGAAATGCTGAGTAGTAGACTGCAAACACTAATTCATTGTGGGAGAACAGCAAAACACCTATATTTCCCTTTTATATAGTTCCATATAAATATTATTCAAATGTGAAGTAAATCCACATCCGCGTTCCATTCAAGTTATCCAGAAAACGAACGCTCGACGTCTGCAGAACACTACTGTGGCCTCTGTGGGGTTAAAACGTTCTAGAATTGTTTTCACTTGTATACTTCAAGACAAATTGCTAACCTTTAAGAAAAAAAAGAACGACAAGCCTTCATAATCAGTCGAACCTCCAAAAAAGCAAGCAAAATTATATGATTATTACTCAAACAATTTTGTGTAACAATCACTGTGAAATCAGTTTCGTTCTTTGCACGTTTATCTACGTCGCAAACACAGAGGAAATGTTTAATAATCGAACTATGTAATTCAATAGAAATCTAATCATCGAAGCCTCACAAGTTTCCGTTGTGAAACGCTAACATGGTTATGAAAAAGCACTAATAAAATCGGTAAACTGCAATGACTAAGATGTCGCCACTTCAAAGTAATGACTATGCGTTCATGGGTTCGTAGCCGGACTGAGCATCTCTAATCACATTCCACTGTGAACGATACAGCTCTCGGCGTTGATATCTCTGAGGGATGCGCTATGCATTCGACTTCATTAGACAACGTGGAGACGATTTAATATTTATCTGGCTCGTTCGGTGAATTATAATACCCTAAGAATGTATCAAGTCAGTGCTGCTATGTTCGCAGACAAGTATGCTTAAAATTTGGCAATCCTAGAGAGGGTCAAAGGACTAGTTAGTAAGTCATGAACTCCAGCTCAACCCAACATCGCGTGTATTGTAGCTCATCTCTAACCACTGTGCCGCAAGCATTCTCTACATTCGACTATGCGTACTGATTCTATGTTAAGTATGGTGGACGAAAATTCAACAAATTCAGCTAACTTCAGAGTTTCTGCTCCTTCAACTCCTTAAGCATTGTGAAACAAGACTGTTTGTCCACTCATTTCAGCATTCAACCTGAGCCTTTTAGTCCCTGCACATTCACTTGATATTAGGCTATAATTCATCAACGTTCACATCAAAGTTGCAGAGATGTTTTTCGCTTTTACGAACAAAGATGATATTTTATGTCATTCCACCGATTTAACACCACTTGCGGTAAAGTTTAAACGCATGGTATATTTGGCGCACTTTACGCTTTAATCAATGATGTGGGACATGTTTATCCTAATATTAACCAGAGTCCGATTCTAATTTGTCTACGCTTATAAGAATCAAAAATTTAACAGCTCTGTTTGGTGGCGATTTGTAGAAACCGACAAATTACGCTGTTATAGTCAAACCCATGGAATGCACTGCTACGCGTAAAAAGCAGGGCGCCACCTCATTATTAACGGAAGTGACATTATATCCAAGCCACTTCTAATAATCGACTTCATAGAATGAATATAGTTCCTAAAAGTAGAAATTGACAACTATGATGTCTCAACTTTCTATAGGATTTCAAGGATTTCTGAAAAGGTTATATGCATGTTGGATCGGTTACAACCACTTCATAGTTCCTGCGCAACTTCATACCTTGCGAATAATTTCTGTATATTTTCGCCTTCAGCGATACAATACTATATCGGCATATAAGTGCCCACCAGTACTAATCGCCTCTACAAATTCTACTGTTTTTTCATTACTTCCACTGCATTCCGGTACTATATATGAGCGAAAACAATTAAAGGGTAAAAAGTCGTCAATATACCTTTTGATTCCTCTCAATGCATGTCTGAGTCAATTTGATTTCCTTTCTACAGTTTGGAATTTCATGCGTAAGGTATTCAGATTTAACTTACTGATGATACTCCTTTTGATTAAACGCAAGGTTACATAGCCTGTTCTCAGATAGCAGATAAGGTTTAAACGTGGACCAAAGCCTGCATGCTACTAGCTCAGAAGAAGCTGCATTTAGAGAAAAGACGCCATGTCTATTCTCCTGTAAATTTACAAGTGTCCTATATACATGTATATATATATATACATACATACATACATACATATGTATGTATATATACATACATATGTATACATATACATATATATGTGCATATATGTATATATAAGTGCTCGTACGTGCATGCGTGGGCATCCTTACATAAATGCTGGTTGCATTGCATGCAAATTCATCCAAAAGCTTGGAACAAGGTGAATGGGAAACACATGAGGTTGCAGAGGATTCACTTCAAACAAGCAATCTCTTCATAGAACCGGAAAAACCCGGATAGGTTACCTATGACTTCACCCAACTCCTTCACCCTCCAGTAAGTATTAGCCGCCAGGAACAACAAAAATAATAAACGCTCCCCTAAAGCAGAAAAAAACACAGGTAGTTAATACTCCGGTAACAAAAAGCTGCCCATTCCTGGATTCCTAAGGGGGAAGTGGTTATA